CACGTCGAAGACTGCGCCGCGGGCTTCGAGGCGATCGCCGAGCGTGGCGTCGTCGGCGCGACGTACCACCTCGGCGCCGCGGCGAGTCCGAGTGATACCGACGAGTGGTCCAACCGGCGGATCGTCGAGGCGATCGCCGATGCGGTGGGTGAGCTCCAGAGCGATGGCGCCGAGCATCGCCAATTGATCACGAACGTCAGCGACCGACCGGGGCATGACCGACGGTATGCGCTCGATTCGTCGCGGGCGCGGGAGGAGCTTGGTTGGGGGCCGACTATCGAACTGACTGACGGTATTCGTCAGACCGTGCGGTGGTACGCGGAGAATTCCGCATGGGTGGCAGTGGCGGAAGGGGGCCGCTAAGCCGTAAGCGGCGTTCGTTGGGGACCAGCCGCTTGCGGCTTAGCGGCGTTAACTCGCAGGTTCGATCGCGTCGAACTCTAGCGGCTGTTCGCTACGCGGGTCGCCGATGCGGATCGACTTCTTGCCCGACAGCAAATCGTCAATCAGGTTGCCGATCAGCTCGGCACGCCAGCCTTCGGCGAGCGCCGGCGGCTCATCGTCTTCGGTGCCGAAGCCGAGGCGGAAGCTGATCAGCTCGCGGATGTCGGTCGCCGTGCAGGCCAGGGCCGTCGCGATCTCCGACCGGTTGCAGAGGCTGTTGATCGCCGGTGCGAGGAACTGCCCCAGCAGGTTGAGCTGCGGCGGTGGCGGCTTGCGGCGTGAACCCAGGAGGCCGTCGGTCGGGGCCTCGAGGCCGCGGTGGATGGCGGCGGCGATGTCGGGGATCGCCCGCTTGAGTTGCCCGTGGAGCATGCCGCGGACGGCGCGGATCTTGTCTTCGCGGTCGGTCTTCTTCTTCGCCAGCTCGACGATCAGGTCATCGCGGAGGATGCGCTTGGGCGGCAGGTCGCGGCGTTCGGCCTCGGCCTGACGCCAGAGCCACAGCTCGCGGACGATCGCCAAGCAGCGGACCGGCAGGCCGCCCGAGCCCGACACCTTGCGCCATCGCTGGCGGTTGCGGGCGTCCATGACTTCGGTGACGAAGCCCTCCGTCTCGGCGTCGAGCCAAGAACGGCGGCCGAGCTTGTCGATCTTGCCGAGGATCTTGTCGTGCAAGGCAAACAGGTACCGCACGTCCTCCAGGGCGTAATCGATTTGGGCGTCGGTCAGCGGTCGGCGGCGCCAGTCGGTGCGTTGCTCGCCCTTGTTGGGACGCTTGTTGAGGATTCGCTGAACAACCGAGCTGTAAGCGGCCGGGTACTCGGGGCTGCAGAACGCGGCGGCGAGCTGCGTGTCGAACAGGTTGGCCGGCGGACGGTCGATCGCGTGAACGCAGAAGTTGATCTCTTCGCGCGCCGCATGGGCGATCGTGACGTGCGGGCCGTCCGCCAAGAGCTTCCAGAACTCCGTCAGGTCGCCGATCGGCTGGGGGTCAATGACCGCCAGGATCGGGCCCGCGGGGCCGCCTTCGGCCACCACTTGCACGAGGCACAATTCGGGCCGGAAGGTGTCCTCGGAGACAAACTCGGTGTCGAAACCGATCCGTGTCGAGCCCCTGAGCCGGTCGCAGAGGTCCGCGAGGGCGGCGGCGGAAAGGATTGTCTCGTGGGACACAGCGGTCGCGGTTCGTTCGTCGGAAGTCGTAGAAGCTAGCTAAGCGACAAAGCCTACACCGCCCCGCAGCGGCGCGACAGGTCGCTTTCTGAAACGGCGTCGGCCGGCGGGGTCGAACCCCGCCGGCCGGCGTTGGAATCGTTATAAGCGGACC